CTCCCAGCGTTGAAGAGGCAGCAGAGATGCTCCGTGACTGTTATTGCAGCCTAGGGTGACCAGACAGCAAGTGTGAAAAATCAGGATGGGGGTGGGGAGTAATAGGATCCGATATAAGAAAAAGACCCAAAAATCGGGACTGTCCCTATAAAATTGGGACATCTGGTCACCCTATTGCAACCCTGGGGCTGCAGGAGCTCCTACCCTTTTACTCCTCTTTCCCCACTCCACAGGGGTAATGGACAATAGCGGTGGATCTATTGGCTCTGTCCTTCAGTCTTCCCTCAGCCCATTCTTGCCCCATAACCCTTTGCACAGGGATAAGGGATAGTCCTCATGAAGCTCTGTGACATGGAGGATGTCTACTTCCTTTGTACAGGTTCTAGAAACCCTGCACCACCACCTATGTAGCAGAAGTGCTCCAGAACTGGTCCAGTGCTTCTAGAGTTCTCAGCAACTACATCTGAGGGGGCATGTTTTTGTCTTATACAGACATTTTCATTTTCAAAACACTTTTCAAATCCTAATTCTCACAGTATCCCCGTGTAATAGGTATTTTCCTCATTTTATAGAAGAAGAATCTGAGACAGACAGGCTAAGGCCCACACTTTCAAAAGTGTCACCGTCTCCATTTGGGCACTCAAAAATTTAGGCACCCAAAATTACTGGAACACCTTTGAAAACATTGACCTATGTGACGTGCCCAAGGCTGTGCAAGAAGTCTGTGTCAGAACAGGAATTAGAACTCAGGAGTTCTTGGCTCACAGCACTGTGCTCAAATTTTCTCTCCCATCTTTCACTCTAAAGGGAATTATTCACACAAATTCCCTGCACTGATCAGTGAGAAAGTTGATTCCTTATTTTACTGGTTGTGTCACAATTTTAACAATACCTAACATCGATGGGAGTTGCAGTGTGGAGAGGGGGCAGTGTATGGCCCTTAAGCATAGTTTTTGCATGTTAATACATGAAAAAGTGATGTCTTATTTGTTCTGTAACTGACAGAATAATGTACAGAAAGCAAGTAAGTATGAAGAGGGGTTAGTTAGATAATGTTGAACAGAGCATCTTCAAGACAACACTGTAACCACTGTACTTCAAATGTCAGGCTAATTATTATCAGCATTTAAATGTTATCATGGGCCATTTTTAATAGTGGAATTTTTCAGCAGGTACTGTAATGGTCAGAAGAAAATGTCGCATGTAGCTGCTGCTGTTGCATTGTTCATAAAAGTACAAAAAATAAGAAAAAAAGAAAATTATTCTACAGACAGCAAAAGGAACAGCTTGTTTGCTTAAATCTGACTGTAAAATTAATCCATATGCTGATACTATTTGAAGTATCATTTACTTTCAGGAAGAATAGAGGAGGTTTGCTATAATACAGTTATGTGAAGTGCAAATAATGCTTATTAGAGATAAACCCAAAACGCTTTAAATATAGGTTTTTAGAAATTCATATGCAGGCATGTATTACTACTCTGAGTTATTATGAAGCAATTTAAGTATCAGCTTTATACTCTTTGGTAACCCCATATTACACCTTGAGCTTTACAGAAAATGAAATTTTAATATAATTCACCACAAAATGGCACATGATGCCATTAATTCAGATATTTTTCATATGTACATAGTTTGATCTTATCCCTTACTTACCATGTAAACAGTATTATATGGCAAATTTCCCTGTGATACAGTACAGTACCTGTATATAATTATGGGCACATTTTGCCAATGCAACTGTTACACAGATTTGTAATTAATTCCTTTGAAGATTGCTGTTAGAGTTTTGGATACTGATGCTGGTTTTGGACATTTATTACTTCTCTTTAGTTGGCTATTTGCTGTGCCTCAGAGACAGATGTAAAATTAGTGTCTATTTTGAGCCAGCAAACAGTACATCTTTCCTCCTGTTTATTGAATTGCAGGGAGGAATTCTTTGGGCTCCCACTTCTTTGTGGTTTTGAAGTAACAGTCTGTTTTTGTGCCAACCATGTAGCTTCAATGCATGTGTAAAATTTTGTTGAGGATCAAGTTAGAAGTTGCTTATTTGACCTAATGGAAAAAACACAGTATGACGTTAGGATGCATTGTGTAGGAGGGCTTTCATTTCTCGACACTGAGTAAAACTTTATGCATCACAAATGCAAAAATAGTAATCAGTTTAAAATGCACTGAGTATATTCTGCCCAATGACCTACATTTAAAAGAAACAACTATTAGTTATGACCAAAAAGAGTAAGAATTTTTTCTTCTTGTTAAGACAAAACTACATTTCTGAGGTCTGCTTGTGCTGACAGTGATAGTGATGGACAACTTATCAAAAAGGGGAAGCAAAGACCATAATGATCTTACTTTTAATTTCACAGTGTAGAAAACTTTCTTTCAAGTACCTTTAGTTATGATTCCATACAAATATTTTTGTTCAAAGTAAAAAAAGAAATCTCCCACAATTACAAATTGACAAATCTAGTCACTGGACTGAAATATGAAAAAATAAACAACCCCAAAACCAAAGCCCATGAGATAAGCATTAGTGAAAGATCATAGTGGAATTAATGTCCAGCGATTGTTTGTATGTATGTATGTATGTATGTATTTATGTATTATTTCAAATTGGTTTACCTGAATGAAAAATTGCATTAGAAGGATGTTTTGTGGATATGGATTTCCCTAGTTAATGCAGCTCTGTAAAAGATGGCAGAGGGCTTCTGTAAGTGAAGTTGACAGCAGTTATTTATTTAGTTTAAAAGTATTTACTACTATTTGTGAGCAAGAACCCTAAAGGTTGTGAAGTATTGTTGGCCTCTGAAGGTGATGGATGTTCTGCTCCTGACCCTATATAGTGAGACATGACTTCATTGCATGTTTAGATTGTTCTGATATTTGGGACTCCTCAAGGGCTGTTCATAAATCATTTATCTTTCTCTCTCTCTCTCTCTCTCTCTCTCTCTC